TTATATGGAAACTATGTATATGATTTTTACGTATTATGTATTATAAAAAAATATATGTACTGATTTATTTTACGACTGTGTTCCGCAAAAATCTTGTAAAATTGTAAATGTTCCTGATTTTGAGAAATATACAAAATTCCTTTCACAAAATGAAAAGTGTACAAAAGAAAGTCTCTTTTCTTGAAAATCATCTGTGTTGAATATTAGTCAATTTGAAATATGTATGAGTATTTATGTACTTCACTGTAACTGTTCGATTAATCTTTATAGAATTATTATTATCAGTTGTGAGATTAACAAATCGGTGAGTAATTCGATCGAATAGGTCGACGAATACCTAAACATTTAATCTCCACTTGAAATACAATTATTTTTGATAAGATAAAGAGTGTACGCACGAAAGTTTGTTTTCTGCTGAATCATCTGTGTTCAGCGTGAAGTCAGCACATTTATCTTTTGCTCAATAATTGACTTACGTAAAAAGATGCGAAGCGTCCAAAGCCATCTCAAACTGATAATGACTAACTATTTGCCGAATCAGTTACAGCTAAACGCGTATTAGGAACGTGAAGGGAACGACTAAATTCGGCTCCTGCAGTCGTGAACGACGGATGCTGACTGACGATGAATTCTCTGCACGAACTATATGTAGGTACATGGCGAATTCTATTTCCAGGCAAAGTACTCGGATAAGATTACATTCAATCTCGCTTAAACAAATATTTCCTTCATAAAGGATATCAATTATTTAATGTATATAATTTAATTCTTATATACGTAACACTAACAGGCTCTAAAAGAATTCCCGTTTGTTGGTATTCTTATCAACAGATATGTGCACTATTGTTTACACAGCAGTGCATTAGCTCATCAATAAACGTCTGCGCACAGCAGTATAATAGTACATCAGTTAAGCAATTAGCAATGACAATTGACAATAACAATTGACAATAACAATTGACAACAACAATTGACAATAACAATTGACAACAAAGAACATTGACGATAAAGTTGTTCTAGGCTATATATTATGTAGACCGTTCCTATCGTGAGAATTATTTTTAAAATATCTTTTTCCACTGGGTAGAAAATAGTTTTGAAACAAATAAATGAATCATGGAGAGAGATAAAATCATTATTATCAGTTATGAGATTAACAAATCGATGAATAAATTGATGAATATCGAAACATCTGATTTCCACTTTAAGTATGATTATCTTTGATGAGATAATACGAAAG